AATAAACAAAGTGCCCCGAACAAGAGAACAGATTCACTAAAGAAACAAGGAAACAAATATGTGAGTGAAGAAGTTCCTAGACCACTTAACTCATGATGTAGATTCTACCTTGTACTAGAAATCCTGGAATGTGAACTTTTGCTCACTGAAGATCATAAACAGTTATCTCGACAATGAACCAAGCCCATTCTTAGATTACTAGGAACATGTAATCAAACTTCAACACATCTCGACTTCCTCTTCTCATTAGCAATATCCGATCAAAGCCAGATTATGTAGTTTCTAATGTTAAAATGTCATATAAACAACAATATTAAAATAATAATATGAAGACTTTAATTAAAAAAAACCCCACCAGTAACAAAAAGGATTACGTTGATTTTATTACCTTTCCGTTGTATTTTAACCCATTATTTCTTCCTTATATGTCACCATTGATCGCATGCGAAATATATGAAGTTTAAGTATATTTCAACATAAACGAAACTTCACACACAGTGGAAATGAAAGAACAAAGCAAAAACGCAATGCATGATGATATATGATTCAGATGAACTGTTGGACTTGCAAAATTTTAATTTAATAAAAGAGAAATTGTGTAAATAAAATAGGGGAAAAAGCGAATTTCAATACAATCATAGAAATCATGACTAGCCGCTCTCTCAGATAGAGTTAACTGGTCAGAGAGCAACAGCATAACAAATTTGATTTAACATCCCTCTTCTTGGCTTTTCCGAACGCAGGCTGCAACACGTTTCTTGAATTCAGGAAAATTTTCTCGTTGCATCTTCTGAAAAAATAATATATGTAAATGACAAATTTAATTCGAAGTTTACCAGAAAGCATATGGAGATATAACAAATCGCAATTATAATTAGCGAAAATTGAGCAAATTATTTTCTAGAACTCAAAGAATGGACTCCTTGATCTTAATCGATAAGGAGGGAAACAAAACAGTCATAAAACAAATATATATCTTTCTTTGATACAAAAAAAACTCTCCGGTTCTTCGCTTTTACAATCAATTTGAACTATGCTTTCCCAATACTTTTGAACTTCTTAAATAGTACAATCCTTTGTATACCTTAGAAATATATCATCGTAAACAAGGTAAGAAACCGTCAAATCTTACCGCAGCATCTACATTTGCAGGTGAGTCATGGTTTGGATCCGCAAGCATTGATATCACCGAAAGAAGAATAGTTTCTACTGTATGCACAGGCAACCACCTTTCTTCTGGCTTTTCGTAACCCCATCGATCATCTCCTGGTTCATGCAGTATCGATATACAAACATTTCCTTCTTTATCAACTGGAATGATAGAATTAAGAATTAAGCAATTTTCGAATGACCAAACCTCCAAAGCTTACTAATCAATCACAAATATTAATAGATACATGCATTATATAAAGCAACTTGCAACAACAATTTAGAAACCAATTACTTTATATTTAAGTGATAAATAGTTTCTGAGAATCAAGTCGTTTCATTCTAACCGTCAGCACGCGGTAGTTTTCATTCATCTTCTGAAGCAGAGCTATCAAAAACATGCTCCATCTTTAACACCACACTATGAAGGACGTGAACAAATGAGCAGAAATTTGGGGAAAACTGCAGCACTATTCTCCTTAGTGCTTATTTACATCACACGATTCCTCACATCACATGATTTCCTTAATAAAGTACCAAATTTTTTGGTTCCAGTTCAACTGCAGTTATTATTACGAAAAATAACTTACTGTTTGGATGCCAAATTTCGGAGATGAACTTCATTTTAGGCGGTAATAGTGGATAATCTTTAGGAAATTCCAATAAAGCTTTGAAAAATCCGCCTTCGCTGGAACACAAATTGTTTCATTAATATTTTTCTTTGTTCAAAAATTCTGGTGTTTAGTAACAATTCTATGAACTTGAGCAAAAAGTAGCTGAAAGTCTTCCATAGTTAATTAGATTAACAAAATGTTTTTATTAACATCTTTCGACTGTTTAAAACTTCAAATATTAAAAAAATTCACTAAAGAGTGTCAGGTGGTCCAATAACGAGAACTTCCCACTTATATATGTCATCTCCTTGCAGACCAGCTGAAAAGCCATCGACAGGAACTCGTTTCAATTCTATAAAATAATAATCACATTCTGTTTACAACGCAAACCCCCTGCAGTTTAAAAATAATTTGTAAACTTAACTTGTTTGCTACAAAGAACCTCAAAAATTGAGATGGTAATGAGAAGTACTAAAACCTGCTAACGACTCTATCTTGGAAGCTTCTTCTACTGACCTAATTATATTTTGCTCACTGACGTCCTACTTTTCATAATATGTAGTCTGAGCTGATAATCTACAAGACAGTTATAAAATCAAGCTCTCGAACGACCCTCGACATCAAATTTGATGAAATTCATTTCATTTGAAGAATAGTTATACTCCAAAATATAAAGACAAAATCTAGACAATTTAAGACGAGACGCACATCAGTGGACAAGACATCTCTTATCTTTGAAAATGTGCTCAATGTTAAAGAACATGGAAAAAAAATTTCTACCGGCAAGTTGTTTTCTGAGGAGAAGTGCCGACTGTGGTTCACCCATGCTTCTTTCGACAAATATATCCGATATAGAGAAAGCCTGAACCAAAGCAAAATGGTTTTCACGAGAACTAAAATGACTTGTTTCCATTAAATTGCCATTCCATACACACAGTACAG